AACGTTAGAGACATAATCTCTTTAGTTTTAGAAATTGAATCATTTTGATTTCTTTAAAGAGTATTTTCGAAAAATTAAAATTTTGACGAACAGAATTATTTTTGAAGAATCTAATTTTCCGAAAAAATATTTTTTAATGAGAGAAAAAAATAAGTTTTTTGTGCTTATAGATGGAATTTTTCTCTCTATCCTACAATGTGTCCTAAAAAACCTAATCACTAGGGTCCTCGGATTATCTTCGCACCAAAATGTAGGACTTTGCCTTGTTCGTTCTTCCATAAGGAATTCTGGCATAAAATAATATTAGCACAAATATATAGCATAAAATAATATTAGCACAAATAATATAATTTAAATTTATTTATTTTGTTTTAATCATCAAAATTTTTGAGATTAGAATTGACCCTTGAGCCAACACATTATAATTGTCTAATATATTTCCCTTCAAACTTGTCCAAGACTATATTTGTCAAATCAAATGCAACAAGTCAGCTCATGATGAGCCAAAAATCAAAGCCCATTATAAGATTTGAAGGTCCTAATATTACAACATCATCAAACAGTATAGTTGGAAATACGCCCAATGCATAATTTCTCCCCTAAATTTTTTTCAAATTGCCATTTGTGCCCCTTAATTTTGCGAAGAACTGCTTGTACCCCTTAACTAGTGTTTTTTATAGCTTTTTTATCCCTTACCATGCTGGATCGGTGGAAGCATGGAGGAAATCGCTGTACAAAGTGTGAACAGTAATATTTCTATCCGACGTGTAAGAGACGATGTCATATTGGACTCTATTTGCTTAAATCTAGCGTCTTTTTAATCAACAAACTCATTCCCAATCTTCTATCTTTTCTCTCTCTTTGGTCTCCATTCCCATCCCCAGTCTTCTATTTTTTCTCTCTCTTAGTTCTCTATTCTCATCCCCAATCTTCTATCTTTTCTCTCCCTTCGTTCTCCATTTCTCCCAAGAACAGAAATAAAATTTTCTCGCGAAACAAACAAATACAAAACAAAAAATAAAAACTTTCCCAACAACCTTACCCATACCAAAACTGAAAATTTACCTTAATCCATTACTCAAAAACTTCTCATTCCAAATATGAAACGATAATCACGAAATTGAGAAGAAAATCCCAAATATTTAAAGAAATAAAAATTAGAGATTTGAAAAGCTGTTGAAGTTGGAAGTTTTATTTTAGAAATACAAATGCATGCAAACCCATTTGCGATATTGATTTTGAGACTGCAAATGAAGAACCTTGAAAACTATTCAATGCAAATAACTGAGTCGAAGAGAGAGGGTGAAACAAGAAAGAATTTAGTTTAAAGATAAAAGAGAAATTAAAGTCTGAGTTCAGAGATGAAAGAGAGAAAATGAAAAAAGCAAGAGGAGCAAGTCTTCAAATCTATATTGCAAAGGCATTAAAAACTCTTTCAACTTATTCATTTAATTTTTCGTTTTTCTCTTTCCTGTTATTTCTTGAACATGTGGAAACCAATATGTGGCGTCTAAACTGATGACATATCAATCAATTGCTTATGATAGGTCAATGCGAGTGTAATTCACGCATAAGCTTCAGTTTGCTCAAGAGTAAAAAAGCTACAAAAAAAACACTAGTTAAGGGGCACAAACGGTCCCTCGCAAAGTTAAAGGCACAAATGACAATTTGAAAAATGTTTAGGGAAGAAGTTATGCTCAGCCATTTAATTTTTTGTTTTTCTCTTTTCTATTATTTCTTGAACATGTGGAAACCAACATGGCGTCTAAACTGATGACATATCAACTGCTTATGACAGGTCACCACAAGTGTAATTCACACACAAGCTTCCATTTGCTGAGGGACAAAAAAGCAATAAAAAACACAAGCTAAGGGGTACAAGCAGTCCCTCACAAAGTTAAAGGGCACAAATGACAATTTAAAAAAGGTTCAGGGGGGAAATTATGCATTCGTCCATTGGAAATAACATTGACATTAATTCATATATATAAAGTGAATAAAAAAATCCATATAAAATTTATAATCATTAGTGGTAAATCCTACTAGTATATTGGTAATGTAAAGCGTTTTCAAAAAAAAAAAAAAAAAAATCCTACTAGTATAGTTGTAATGTTAAAGCGTTTTTTCAAAAAAAAAAAAAAAAAAAGGGAAAAAAAAAAAAAAAAAAAAGAAATTGAGAATATAAACCGTATCTATTAATTTATTGATAGTTGGATGTTGGAGAGGAGAGAATGAAATTTTAATTTTCATTTCGTCTAAACAATATTTTAAAAGGTTAAAAGGGACAATTCAGGTCCTCTACGTAGGATTGATTCGAATCATCATTTCCATATTGCACCACTCTAAAATAAAAAGATAATTGAATTCAATCTATCTATATAAATATATAATCCTGAAGCAAAAAAAGCGCTCTGTTCCTTCAGCGTTCTATTTTCTCTTTTTTAAGAAATCTTTGGATTTTTTTCTTTTTTTATTATGATTTTTTCTTTGTTTTTGATTGATCATTAAAATATTTTTTAAATTTAGAAATTAATATTTTATGATAATAGTCAACATTTTTAAAATTGTTTTTAGGATTTGATTGGCCATCAAAATATTTTTTTAAATTTAAAATTTTATATATTATGATAATAATCAACTTTTTTTGAAATTTAATCTTATTTAGCTATATACTTTTCTTTTCTTCTGTTGAATCTTTATTTTTATCTATTTATTATCTTGTATCTCTAGGCCTTCTGTCCGTTCTCTACTTCTATTGTCTCATCTGATAGGCTTTATTTGCTTGGAACTTCTATTTTACAGATTCCTCTATTGTGCGACAAATCATATTGATGAATCAAGGTATGTACTTTAGTGTATTTTGCTCATTATTTTCATTTGATGAGCAGGATTTGACTATAAAGAGATTGAGAGAGCTTAAGTCACGCCTTAATGATCTTCAAAATGAAAAGGTTTTTTTGGAAACTTCTGTTGTGAATTTGCAATTAAAATAGAACTTTCATTTCAGTTTTATTTCATGCTTTTTATTATTTAATTTTTAGAATTTGTGATTAAGTAAAGAGGAATTAAGAGTAACTAAGAGGATTAATAATAAAATCTAATTAAAAATCTTGATGGAAAATTATAATTTTTTGATTGTTTTTTCGGTGCTTAAAAACATAAGACAAGAGAAGAGAGGAACATAAAAAGCTCTCAACCAGCTTGGTCCTCGCCAAAAATGGAATCTGAATCTCGAATCATTCTTAGGTTAGGTTTTCTTGTACTTTCTTTCTTTCCTTCCTTTCTTTGAATTCTAATTCTTTCCTTCCTTTCTTTGAATTCTAAATAAATAAAAAAACGAGATTTATTTATAGGTAATTTCTCATTTAATCTTTGATCTTCTTTTCTCATAATTTAATTTCTATTTTTTTCTCTTATGTTTCGCTTTGATTTCACTGTTTAATCTATGGTCATTGCTTTTTTTTTTTTCAATTTTTTCAAAGCAGAAATTAATATTAATATTAATTAATATTTTATATAGAGGTAATTGCTTAACTTAATATTTTAGAGTGTGACATGTAATTGGTCAAAATTTGCAGAGATAGAACAATATTCTAGAAGCACATACGTGATATTTTTGTTTTTAATTATATATATACATTTAAATCATTTCCTGACTAATATTTGACAATTGAAAGGTTATTAGTTTCTCTCGTCTAAGGATATTTTTTCAATATATCAAATATTAATTATATTATTATATATATATTATATATATATGCGCGTGTGTGTTTACATAAATTCTAAATTATCAATACCTTATGTCAATCTTATAAAGGTGGTTACATATATAATGATAAAATTTAATTAAATTTATATTTTTATCTAGGAATTAACATTCTCGAGAATGATTGTGAACCTAGTAGTGTTATTATATAACTAGAGATGCAGTGGGATGAAAATTCAAATATTATACTTCAAATTAATAGAAGTAATTGGTATATGATCATAGTTAGGAAGTTAGCCATCTTCTTTTTTTATTATATGATTGTAATTGATGTATTTTTTTATTAAAAAAATAATTTTTTCCATGTTTTGATTGGATCGTTATTTTAATTTAAAATTAATATTTAATTATATTTTACCATTAAGTAATAAATAATTAAAATTATAAAAGAAATATTTTATCATATATTATTCATATTGAATTATTTAAATAATAAAATGTTATGATAAGAAATAATATTCAACCTGTTTGAATTATAAACTCTAATTAAAACTTAGTTATGATTAATTGAAGTCTCTTCAAAAATAAGCTACAAACTCATCTTCCTCAAGTGTCCAATGCTATGCCGAAGCTGCAAACTCACTTTCCTTAAGTGTCAAATGTGATGCATTGATGCTTTATTTGCTCGATGACTTATAGACTTGCTTGACCACTTGAGTTTATAATTATCTTAAATAAATTAATGGTATTATAACGTTATATAAAACCAGAATTTGATAAAGAAGAAAAATAAATTTTATAATATATATTAAATATAATTTTAAATTTTATAATAATATTAAATATAATTTATATCATTATAAAATATAAATTATTTATAAATTAAAAATTACAAAACTATTAGAGCCTCCATCTTAGTTACAATTAAAAGTGGAATACAGGAAGTTGAAGGACACTTAAAGTGATTAAAAAGAGTAACATCTTGTTTCTTGTGTAATTAAAAAAAAAAAGTCGGATCTTGAATCAAGACCTTTTCTGGACTTTGTTGTTAATAATATATACTAATACATCTGTTGTCAGTTTTTCCCACTGTTTCTGAATATAATTTATATATTATAAATATAAATTATTTATAAATTAAAAATTACAAACTATTAGAGCCTCCATCTAGTTACAATTAAAGTGGAATACAGGAAGTTTGAAGGACACTTAAAGTGGATAAAAGAAGTAACATCTGTTCTTGTGTAATAAAAAAAAAGAGTCTGGATCTTGAATCAAGACCTTTCTGACTTTGTTGTTAATATATATACTAATACATCTGTTGTCTAGTTTTCCCACTGTTCTGTGAATCGACAAAAGAAGGCTCCCTACTTTTTTGGTTTCTATAGAGGCTGGGCCAGATTCAATCACTAGGCTCAACTCAACTCTAGCCCCTAATTTCTTCCTTGTATTTAGAAGTTAAGGCCTGGGCTTTACGCTTTAGCAACCGACTTTAACTGCCTTGGAGTTGTGTCGGTGAACTCCGCTCCTCCACATCACCACCACCAAGTGAAGGCGGAGATTCACCTTCTGCAAATGGGCGGCCACAACAATGGTATTCTCTGCTTCTCTTTAATCTGATTTGCACAAGTTCGGTTTATCTATCTTCTTTTCCTTCAGCTACCTAACGTAGCAACTATCTTCAGATCTCACTTATTGTCTTTCTTTAGATTCATCATCTTTCGTTTCCAGCAAATCCTCCAAGATCTTCGTAGCAGGCCACCGTGGTCTAGTTGGCTCTGCTATAGTCCGCAAACTCCAGGCCCTTGGCTTCACCAATCTTGTCCTCCGCAGCCACGCTGAGCTTGATCTCACTCGCCAATCTGATGTTGAATCTTTCTTTGCGGCTGAAAAGCCAGAATACGTTATCCTTGCTGCCGCAAAAGTTGGTGGCATCCACGCCAACAACACTTATCCGGCTGATTTCATAGCGATCAATCTCCAGATCCAAACCAATGTAATTGACTCCTCGTATCGCTATGGCGTCAAGAAATTACTCTTTCTTGGTTCATCCTGCATTTACCCCAAGTTAGCACCCCAACCGATCCCTGAAAATGCCTTGCTCACCGGACCTCTTGAGCCGACTAATGAATGGTATGCGGTGGCCAAAATTGCTGGAATCAAAATGTGTCAAGCCTACAGAATTCAGTACAATTGGGATGCAATCTCTGGTATGCCAACCAATTTATACGGTCCATATGATAATTTTCACCCAGAAAATTCTCATGTGCTTCCTGCATTGATGAGGAGGTTTCATGAGGCAAAGGTGCAGGGGGCAAAGGAGGTGGTGGTGTGGGGAACAGGGAGTCCATTGAGGGAGTTCCTTCATGTGGATGATTTGGCGGATGCAGTGGTGTTTTTGATGGAGAGCTATAGTGGACTGGAGCATGTGAATGTAGGGAGCGGGAAGGAGGTGACAATCAAGGAGTTGGCAGAGTTAATGAAGGAGGTAGTAGGGTTTGAAGGGGAGCTTGTTTGGGACTCATCAAAGCCTGATGGGACTCCCAGAAAGCTCATGGATAGCTCGAAGCTCTTGGGGTTGGGATGGACGCCTAAGATACCACTCAAGGATGGGCTTGTTGATACTTACAAATGGTACTTGGAGAATGTGATCAAGCAATGATGCAGGTGAGATTATACTGTATGATGTGTTTCAACGATGATTTTGGTAATATTACTATTGCCTCGTAATAAATTTTAGCATTCATTTTGTATTACTACCTATATTGGATTGTAAAATGCGACACTTTATTTAAGGTCACTGAATTTCATTTCATAATCTTTTTTGGTTCTTTTCAATGGGTAATTTCTTTATGGATGTATTTGGTGAATGCTTGATTGTATGTTTGGGGATGGTTATCTATAGCCTATAGCCAAAAGAAAAATGGGAAGTTTGAAATTTGGTTTCAGGCTTTCTGGTTAATATTTTTGAAGGCTTAGCAGATGAAATTTGAGTGGTTCATCCATACAGACTCCATTAACCCTACACCATGTTATGCAAGCATTGCCTGTGTATAAAAAGACCTAGTTAGTTGTAATAGGGGCAATACAGCCTAAAAATTGGGGAATTCTAAAATTAATGCGTAGACTATTAAAAAAAAAATGAAATTTAGGAAGAAGTTAAATTTTGAAATTCTGGCCTTCTCAGACGAAATGTAGTTCCACCCATAGTTTTAGAACATCTAAAACATCAGTATGAAGCAAGAGTGCAGGTCACGACCACGAACATAGTCACATGCATAAATATGAATTGATGCCAAACGAAATACAAGCTGAAAAGTTGAAATTCTCCAGTATTCAGACCATAAAGGTTCCATTCCAGAAAAAAATCGTAAACTGAAAAGTGCATTGCAAAAAGTTCAACTCTGGTGATTCATATGGCATCATAATGCAAGCAGAAATGGCTCAAACTGAAAGATCAGGATATTCCAATACATTTTTGGTAGTTCTGTGAAGGCATTACAGATAATGTATAATACGCAAGATTGCAACAGAACTGGAGAAGGAATAGCCTTTCACTGGTTTGGCTTAAAAATGAATCCCAAAGAGCCTTGAAAGATTGTTGCAAAATAATCAATCATCCCATGTTGACGGCCCACCCATTCCAACTTCAACCTCTGCAGGCAACTGGACTGCATGATTAGCTACTCGGTTCTTAGTTTTCTTTTTCTTTGCAGACAAAGTAACCAAGCCACCTGTAGAATTTATGTTCTCACCAGCTTTATCTATCAGTTTCTTTTCAACACTATGTTTCGAACTTTCCACATAATTAACAGAGAAAAAGTCTGCAAATGATGTTTCCCCATTATCAATTGCATCAAGCTCATCCAGTTTCTCAGTTGATTTTTTACTTTTGCGTTGCTTTTCAACTGTGTTTTTATCGTTCCCTTTGACTTGAACATCTTTCTTTGGTAATTTCTCAATTGTTTTCTTCCTTTCCTGCTTTGACTCATCCATAGTAAGATCATTATTACTATTATCTTGGTCCTGTGATTTTTTCCTCTTTAGTTTCTTTTCAACCACATTGTCATCCCTTTCATGGACTGGAACTTCTTCCTTCTTTGAGAATCTACTTAGATCCATATTAACATCACTAACATTATCAAGATGAATGCTTTTACTTTGACCCATATCATGCTTGGACAGCGTATTTCTGCTCATAGATTCCCTTTTCTTTTCTTTAGTAACTTCGAGCTCATTACTAGGAATGAATGAAAAATCATCAACTTCGCCCGTATCTCCCTTTTTGGTGCTTTTATCTATTGGTCTAGCATTGAATATATGCAAATTTGGCAATAATTTTAAGACCTGCAGTAACAATATTTAAAACAACAATGTGAAACAGCAAAAAGCTAGAAAGATACTGAAAAAGACATGCATGAAAAGAACATGACCTTCTTTGTTAATTTCTCCCTTTCAGCAATGGGGTTTCCTTGTATATTTAGGTTTTTCAGATCAGCTAAGAATTTCAGCACCTGCTATTTCTTTAGGTCATGAATATACAAGCTATAATAACTAACATTTAAAGCAAAACAAAAAAGAAGCAAAAAAAGATCCCCAAACGCCTTACCTTCACATCTGACCAGCTTGTGATCACGTTATTCCCCAAGTCCAAATTCTGGAGTTTCTTATTATAAGCCAACTCAGCCGGGAGAGTCTAAGCAATTCAGAGAGATTACAATGCAATTCAGCAAGCAATCAAATAGAAATCAGAAAAGGGGGAAAAACACAGAGAGAGAGAAAGAGAAAGGAAAAGAAAACCATGCAGTAAAAAGCAAAAAGTTATGATATAAATTATGATGCAAGCAATTAAATTACTCCTAAAATCCAGTCTTACCGGATGAGAATTCCATAAAAATCAATGGATAAATAGAACATCTACCTTAATCTCATTATGAGCAAGTCGGAGCTCTTTCAGTGCAATACAAGACTTAAGTGATGAGTCTATGGTCTGAAGTTGGCAATTTGAGAGAGAAAGCTGCAAAACAGAAAGGTTCTAAAAGCACTGGCAATAACCAACAGATATTGCAGCTGAAGGATGATGACCATTGACCAACACATAAAACTGCTTACCTTTGTGAGGGAGTTCACCTTGGCTAGTGACTCACCAATTTCACGGATTGGATTTCTGGAAAGAACTACAGAGTTTACCAAAGCCAAAAAGCATGATTTAATATTTCTGAAGTTTATATGCTAAACAATCCGGTACATATGATTATTCAATTTTGGTACTTATTTGACAAATTCTATTCCAAAAGATTCATAAACCAATGTTTCATCAATCTAAAAAGGTTAAGCAACTAGATTGGAAGAGTTATTCAGACATGAACTACATTTTTAAGTCAAAGAATACACCATAGTCAAAACGATTTTCAAAGCAATGTACAGTCTAAACTGTAAAATGGGTTAAAATCAAATATTAAAATTACTAAAGGAAGAGAAAAGGTCAAAAGAATATCTGTTTTCAATGGAATAATAATAAAAACTACAGCTGTGTGGGTTGAAGACTGCACCACAGAAGGATGAGCGACATAGATTTTGTTTAAATTGCCTTCAGGCTTCATCATCACAAAGGATGAAATGAATATGATTCAACATCATATACACAGCCACATACATATATTAAATTTCTTTCTTAAATGACATTGCTTTATCTGATCTTGCTTGAAGTAGCTATTGTAAGAGTTCAAAGACTTCTGTCTCTGATACCCAAGAAACTGGAACAGAATATAATCCTCCTAGAGTTTCAAATTGTTAACCATCCCACCATTTACCAAAGATAAAATTAAAAGGTTGTAGAGATTGGGAAGGCTTTCAAAAATATTAAGAAGGCCCCATCCTCCATTAACATTGGTTTTCTCAAAGGCCCAGAAGTCTGGAAAGAGCAGAGTTCAAGGATTTCCTGTGTGCTTTTGGAAAGAAACTGAGGAAAGATACTTCAAAACTTGGGGCAGGAAAATGTAATAGAGACTAAGAAGGCTTCTATAAATATTAACAACGCTACATCCTCCATAATCTTGGTTTTCTCAAAGGCCTAGAAGTCTGGCAAGAGCAAAATTCCAGGAAAATTGGACAATATTTATTAGTGATAGATTGGAAGGTAATATGACCCAGGTAAATCACCTAATAAAGGGATTGCTGAAAAGAATAACCTTTATAAGCTTCCAGTTCATTTTGCAGTAAAGGGGAAAAACCAGAGAATAATTCGGAAGAAAATTATAGCACATACTAAAAGCATTTAGCTAGCATGGGACTATAATCCAGCTTTTCTACTTTCTACAAGGTCTCTCCTCTCTCTCTTTTTTTTATCCATTAACCACAAAACTAAATATAATAGATTTTAATAAGCATGAACCCTGGAAAAAGTACCATGAGAAGCCACAGCACAGTAGATAAAGAGTGAAATGTGTTAGTAACTCATACCCAGGGTGTTCAATTCTTTGTTTTGATCCAGCTTGCAAATGGAAACAATTTCATTGTCTGCAACAAAGATATCTTTATAAGTTTGGTAAAAATAAACGACATTCACCTTCTAGGAAACAGCATAAATGAGTATGACAACTACACAACGCACCGTTTAAGATCAAAGCACGTAAGCTTACAAGTGACCTAATTTCTTCCATTGATTTAAGCTTATTTTTGCCTGCATTCAACACCTGATTCACAAGCAAAACATTTTTTGCTGAATGTGCTTTTAAACAGAGTTATTTGAAAGATTATTCACAAAAAGTTTGAAACTAGTGGTTTAGTGCTACTCACAGTGAGCTTAGAAAGCCCTTCAATTCCTTTCAAGCTTTGCAATTTGTTTTTGACAACTGATAGCCACTTCAAGTTCAAGCATGAACTCAATCCCTAATTGGATCATGCAATCAACTAAATATGAAAAGCCACTACAAATTATCTAAAATATGAAGATGAAAAAGGAAATAGATATACCTCGAGTGAAGTGAGGCTATTGAAGGCGAGGTCCAGTCTCTCCAAGTTGCTGAACTCATTCAAGCAAGATACCTGCAAAGAAAATTAAATAAGCAGATTTTCATTGACAAAGATATTGAAAAAGACTGGAGAGGAAAACTGCGTTCTACATCGGAGAGAGCTTTCTGTGTGAGCGAAAGAGACGTAATGGAGTTAGGGTCGCGAGTCTGTTTATCCTTCAAAACCTGTTCAGTGGTTAGACCAGTCATATTCTCTGCAAACCAATAAAATCCCTAAAAAACCTCTTTTTTCTCCGCCCCGTGTTTGTCGCTTTTTGTGGTGTGGCCTGAAAATTTGGGTGCTGCTTCACTTTTCCGGCCAATATGAACTCTCTCAGTGTTTAAAGACAACTGTTTGAGGCTTTGGGTTGGATTTGTTTAAAACCTTTTCCTTATTTCCAAACAACGGAAAATAAAGTTTGTGGGCATAACAAAATTTCTTAACTTTTTTGGGTTGCGAAACAAAAAAATTTTCATACTTTTCAAGGTAAAATGTAATTGTTTTATACCATATAAGGACTAAACTTTGTATGAATCCTTTTTAGGCTAAATCATTAAACAAACTCCAGATTTTGCTGGTAATTTTAATTGTAACCTAAAGTCAATTTTGTTTTTCCAGTATCATAAATTTCAATTTTAGTTACAATAAAAAAAAATGGCTGAATACATAAATTGCTTCGTGAACTTGCACGTAAAAGTCCTGTGACCTCTTCTATTTTCAAATTGATCCTGCGACCCTCTAAACTTATTTTTTTGTAATTTATGCACATCTGGCCGCGTCAAAAAATGGTGGGATGTGAAATTCAAGCGTGAAATGAGTGAGTTGGTCACATAAAAACAACTTGCATGGCAACCTACTGCTTTTTCTCTTCCTCGATTAAATCCCACTTGATTTTCTTCAATCCCAAATGCCCATCTCCTTCAAAACTCGATTTTGAACAACAGTAATGGCACCACCAAATCCAAAAATAGCACTAAGAAAAGGAAAATTCATACAAAATCAATTATTATGCAACAAAACTGAGACTCAAAATTCAGTAACAAATCCCCAAGGCTTTATCGTCTTTCCCGTATAGTATCACTTGCTCTGAAGCTTCCTCCGCAACTGAGGTATGGCAAGTGCCCATACTGATTTTTGGAGCCCAAAATAAAGCCTTGCACAAATTGGATGGAGCGATGACTTGTAAATCGACTGTGAGCTTATATTTTAAGGATTGTAGATAGGAGAGAGAAGGAAATGTGGGATTTTTAATATGGGCGGCGGCAATGGCGGAAGCCCCTGCTTTTATTACATTGCAAGGCGAGAAGAGAGAGAAGGTTTAGCAAGAGAGATATTTCAGTTTGTCCAACAAGGTTAGGATTGTGGTGATGGCTTTGATGGTGGTTCTTTAAATGGTTTTGTGGATAAAGGTGGTTTTGATGATAGGTTTTTTGTTGTTGCATTGATGGCTGGCGTTGAGGCCATTCAATTTTTTTTTTTAATTTCTTAATAAAGTTACAGTTGTCAATAATTTTAGTTACAGAGAGAAAAACTAATTAAACCATTAAAGTGACATGGCAATCAGCAGGGTATCATAATTGCCATCTGTATTGTCATTAATCCAAGTCATGCGCGTGTAATTCACTTAATGTTTTTCATTCAGTTCAAGTGTGTATAGTTTATAAAAAATAAAATTCAAAGGGTCACAAGATCATTTTGAAAATAGAGGAATCCACAAGACTTTTATGCTCAAATTCAAAATGCAATTTATGTCTTCGGCCAAAAAGAAATGAGTATAAAAACCCATGTATGACCGAATGGGTGCACAAAATGAAATTTTATGTGCCTATGTTCTTCCTTGTTACATTCCTTGGTTTATGAATTTTAAATGAGATTGACAAAGTAATTGGTTTAATTGAGAAGGTTATTGATAGTTGAGATGGTAATTATTGCTTAATTTGTCTAAATGCCATAAATTGACGAATCTAAGGTTTTTATTTGTAAATTGAGCAAAGTTTAAAAGTTGTTGCGTAGTGATATATTAGTGTTTAATTACATGATTTTAGTTAAATGTATCCTAAATTTCAGTTTGTGAAGCTATTTTAGGACGGTATGATATGTTATGTTATTTTCAAAGGAGTTTAAACATTAAATGAAACTAATTGATCAATAAATTCTAAATATAGTTTGAAGAACTGGAATTTGTAAATTAAATAGTTAAATGTACCTTTATGTGTGTGTATTTTAATGATTTCAGTTTGTGAATGATGCACCCTTCGTTTTTTTTATATAGGAACAACTAATTTTTCACCAAGATTAAAAAAATAGTTTAACCAACTTTTTTTATCAATTTTTTTTGTAATTTACTCCTAATATCTCATTTATTCATCCTCTAATATCACTATATATCTTAAATTATATTTCAATCTTCAATAAGACTTTAAATGTTTTGTTGGAATGGAGAAAATACAAACAATTGCAAAAATGAAATTTATGCTATAATCTATGAAGAAAGTTTCATTTTTTGTCCTTTATTTGAGAAAGTTGTGTAGAAATATGAAAATTTATACTCATTTAACCTTTCAACTGCTTTTGGTTATTGAAAACGTACTTTAAATAGTGTACAATTTTAAATATTCAGTAAAGTCCGTAAAAATTCCTCTCAACGTGCTTTTTCTATTTAAATTTCATTTTAATCAGTGGTCATATAACCTATACTAGCATATTTTTTTTTCAACAGAAATTGATGTAAAAAATTTATTCTCCAAAATTTATTTACATTAAATGCTCTATACTTTTGTCTCTCACTATCTCAAGAATCTCCCACACTAACAGCTTTACAGGGGACTAAAATAATAGTAAGATAGACTTTTTCCATTGACATGATTCCCAAAGTTACCAAATTAAGTAAATTTTTCTACATAGAAAGAACACTCAAAATATAAACTTTTCCTGTATAAAAAGAATGGATGGAGTAATAAATAATTAACCTAAATGATTTAATTACTGGAAAGTAACTACTGTTAAATGAAGATGTTAATTTAAGTGTAAGTGTTATTTATGAGACTTGTAAGGATTATGATTTAAAAAATAATTTTACTATATTTACAAAAAAGCAATTGATTTTTCTCTCGGTAATTTTTAGTTAATCAAGTTACCTAACTTCTTTGCTGAAATGATTAAATGAAATCAAAGCGAAAGTTGTTAAAAGGTTGAGTTGACTTTCAAGAGCCCTTTTACGTGACTTGTAAATTTGTGATGTAATGTAATTTACTATTGTCATAAGAGTTAATTGTTTTACTTCGGTGATTCTTACTTGATTGGGTTACCAATTTTTTATGCATAAATGAATAAGTTAAAGTATAAAAGAGGCAATTGTGTATATTTGTACATCTTTATAACCAAATGTGCATACTGTGTGCATACGAATATATGAATCCTCGTTTCGTTCAAATCCAATATATTTATATAATATATAAAAGCAGGGTAGTTTGTCTTTTATAGAAGTAAAGTACAAGTAACACAATTTGCCACTTGACATTATTTTGGATTATAGAATAATGAATGTTAGAATTCTAACACAATTTGTCACTTGGTAGTATTTTGAATTAGAGAATGACATATGTTAAAATTCTAATACAATTTAGCACATTTGTAAAAACTGTAAGAAGATCAGTTGTTTTATATTTTCAAACAATCCCTTTATCAAGATAATATCTATAAAAAAGATTATCTCTAGCATATAATATATTAATATAAATTTATTTTTTCTTAGAAGTTAAAGTTACAAGTAAACAATTTCCACTTTGAATTATTTTGGATTATAGAATAATTGAATGTTTAGAATTCTAACACCAATTTGTCACTTTGGTAGTATTTTAAATTAGAGAATGACATTATGTTTAAAATTCTAAATACAATTTAGCACATTTTGTAAAAAAACTGTTAAGAAAGAAGATCAGTTGTTTTATATTTTCAAACAATCCCTTTATCAAGATAATATCTATAAAAAAGATTATCTCTAGCATATAATATATTAATATAAATTTATTTTTTCTTGCAAAATAATTAATAAGTATTCTACACGCTTAAAAAGTGTGAACAAACAATATATTACTATTAAATAAATAATATGTTAAAATTTTAAAAAATATAAAGTGGAACGTACTGGATATGATAATTTTTAAAAAGTAAGACATCCAAATACTTAGGATACACTATACTAAATAAGTAACATATTAATATTTTAAATAAATAAATAATCATCATTTATTAATAAATAAATAATCATTTATAATAAATCATAAACGTAAAATAAAAAATATTTAATTTCTTATTTCAATGACATAAAAACAAATTAAAAAAAAAAACTTCATTTTCCTTGGTAATGAAAAAAAAAAATATCTTGGTTGATTAGCTTGGTGTATGGAGTAGTCTCATATACTAGAAGTTAGGTTGCACGAACATGAGACACGAGATGCAGAAACGTACAGATATGCCAATTTTTAAAAAAGTAAGAAATCCACGTGCTTATAACGCACTACACTAAATAAGTAATACATTGATATTTTAAATAAATAAATAATCATAAACATAAAAAAAAATTTTAATTTCTTATTTCAACAACACAAAAACAAATTAAAAAAATACTTTATTTTTTATTGGTAATAAAAAACCTTGGTTAATGAGCTTGGTGTATGGAGTAGTCTCATATACCAAGAGCTAGGTTGTATGGACACGGGACATGAGATATGAAAACGTACGAAATCTAATAATTTTTAAAAAACTAGGGTATTTACACGCTTAAAACACACTACACTAAATAAATAATACATTAATATTTTAAATAAATAAACAATCATTTATAATAAATCATAAATATAAAAAAAATACTTAATTTCTTATTTCAATGACACAAAAATAAATTAAAAAAAAAAGACTTCATTTTTTATTGGCAATAAGAAAAAACCTTGGTTGATTAGCTTGGTGTATGGATCGGTCTCATATATCAGGAGCTAGGTTGCATGGACACAGGACACGAGATACGAGAATATATGAGATACAATAATTTTTAAAAAAGGTAAAACATTTACATGCTTAGGATATACTACACTAAATAAGTGATACATGAATGTTTCAAATAAATAAACAATCATTTATAATAAATTATACAATTTCATTTATAATAAATAGGATATACTACACTAAATAAGTGATACATGAATGTTTCAAATAAATAAACAATCATTTATAATAAATTATAAACATAAAATAAAAAAAAAAACTTAATTTCTTATTTCAATGACACAAAAACACAATTAAAAAAAAAACACTTCATTTTTTATTGGTAATAAAAAACCTTGGTTGATTAGTTTAGTGTATGGAGTATTTTCATAAACAAAGAGTTAGCTTGCACGGATACGGTACACGAGATATGAGAACGTACAGGATATGATAATTTTTAAAAAAAGTAGGACATCTACCCACGCTACACTAAATAAGTAAAACATTAATATTTTAAATAAACAAACTGATAATATATAATAATAAAATACATAAAAGAACAACATATAAATATATTAAAGGATATTACATTCCTAAGTAAATTCTAACTAAGAGATAATGCAGGATTCTCACAATCCTTATCCTAGTAGAATTTATCTTAACTCTAATATATATATCCCAAATTTACTCCAAGCGAGGATAAATTATCAAATACTCTCAATTCTCAATTCTGATAGTTAACAAATGGTGCGGTGAGCGTGGAACACACCTTCTATTCTTTTTACCTTCTGTTCTTTCCATTCTTTTTACTTCCATTCTTTCCATTTTTTTTTTTTTACGTCTAGGGTTTAAGATTTTCTGAAAGAAAAGAGTAAGCTACGAAATAAAAGAAAAAAAAAGGAAAAATCAAACCGGTCCCAAACCAAGAGAACCAAAAATAATCAAACCGAATAAAAGATTTAAACCGAATCAAGGCATTGATCAATCAAATCAGGAAAAAGTTCTCTTTCCCGATCGTAGAATGGCAATTCCCTCTCCCCTTTCCCGATCAGTTTTCCCGGCCATCGGTCGACGGGAACAAAGCGGTAACTTGCCCACTTGAGACACTGAAGTAATATCCAACTTTTCCTCCATCGATCTCCTTCTGCGACGTTGCCTCCTTCTCCAATCGACATCTCAGGCTAATGAAGCCTTACCGGCAATCGAGCATCCATAGCTCCTATTTTATTGTGCGATTTTGACCTATAGCTTACGTCGCTGAATTTGGGGCCTTCTTGATGTCAGTCTCTTCTCTGACGTACCCAAGCAATTTCAGCAAACTTTAAAAGCAAAGGAATGTTTGTGCAGAAGCTAGATAAGGTAGTGCATTGAAGCAGTAAAAGACTCATGTGGCCATGTTCAGTGTTTAGGT